GAAATTTTTATCGTGTTCAAGTTCCACCGGAAGTTCAGGAAATCTTGTCATTAAAAAATCAAATATTCCATTGATTTTCTGTGGATATGATCTTGAAATCAGTAAAATACTTGATTTTTCAGTCCAATTATTCTGTGAAAATTCAGAAAAATCAGGAAAATTCAGGGAAAAATTGAAAATTCGGATCATTTTGTTTCTGAATATTCATGTTCCACTGAAAATTCAATCATGTGAAATTTCCATTTCACTCCCACTGAAAACTCATGAATTTCCTTGAATTTTACTTAAAACTGGAAACCTCATAACCATTTTTTTCTGAATCTGATTCAATGTAACTCTCATGAGATTTACTATATCTTCCATGAAATTTCAAAAAATTTCTAACATCGAAACGTCGCTGAATTTTTGTGACAAGTGCTCTGAATAAATGGAAGACCTGATAATTCACAATCAAAAATCAATCGTCATGTGATGACTGAGTCTCCACTATGCCGCTGCCTAAAATACTCATTCACACTAAACGTACAAAATTCCCAATCAATATTTACCTCAATTTACCCAAATTACTAAAATCACTCCATCTCTCTCACACAGAAAATTAGAACCTAATCCTCAAAACTTTCCTATCATAAACATTTCATCCTTACCATAAACCGAGTTTCAAGTGATCAATATTATTATTTTTACTAGGGGGCTACGCCCCCTGCCCGCTCCGCTCGCCAACCCCCATATGATCGCCATATGACCCTCACATGACCTCCATGATCCTTATTCCGACCCTTAGTTTCTGGCTCCCATAACCCTCATTAGAACCCTTGCGACCATTAATCTTATTTTTGTGACCCTTAATCTTATCCTTGTGACCCTTATTTAGAACCTTAATCTGATCCTTGTTACCCTAATTGACCTTGTTACCCTTGTGACCATCAGTTTCTGACCCCCACAACCCTCATTAGAACCCTTGTGACCCTTAATCTGATCCTTGTGACCCTTATTTAGAACGTCACTTTGACCCTTGTGACCCTTAATCTGTGTACTCCTGGAAATCAAAACTGCTTCGGATAATTTTCAGGATCTTTGTCAATAAAAATTACTGACAAAATATATTTTCAAAAAATAAAATTTTCCTTGTCTCTGTGAAATTATCATCGACTTGTGAGAGAATTTTAGCCTGACACTCTCTAAAATTTTAGGCGTATGAGGGTTGTTTTAGCGCGTAAATTTGTGCATACATCAAGGTTTTATTTAGATGATAGGAAGGTTTTATCTGGGTTCGAATCCAGGCACTGGAAAATAGGGAATTGAGTGTAGCATTCGTGTTACCAATACTTTATTTCTACATTAATTAATTTTTATCTTCAATGCATGGTTTGTTATTATGGAATATTTCAATTTGTTCATTTTTTGTACTTGTCCTAACGAGTTTTGACATTTCGTTATTGCTTACATGTTTCCAGATGCCACAAACAGTGCCAACGGCCGCAGGCTTCTCGCCCACATTCGACTACACGACCTTTCAATTTGATCTGTCCCTTCTGCCCGACGACTACACCACGTCCATCACTCAGACAACCCTAAAACCAACTCAGATTAAACAAGAAGTACACTCACCGCGACCAGGATCACCAACAACCTACCCAAGTCCCCCTTATCCCGGTCTCACTGGCCAATTGTCCCCAAATTATTCACGTGACGCGTCACCAGGATATCCTACCAGTCCGTACTACGTACCCCAGAGCCCGCAGAGTGCACAATTGTATCCAACGAGTCCGGAACCAGTGAAGCAACCGGTCAAGAGGGAGAAGAGTCTGGATCTACTCGCAATTCTTCAAGAATCAAGGTAAAAAAATGATCAACTGTTCATTGTTATGAGAAATAAAATCTACCTCTATTGGAAATGGGAAATTAAATTAAGTTAAACGCAGTGAATTCAAATCTAATTTCTGCTCTTTATTAAATCCAGATCTATGCGCGCGCTCTCGCGCGCGCTGATCTATTCATTTGTTGAAATGAAGAAATGAAATTCATTGAATTTCATTTTCTCATGAATACCTTATAAATATTGATAATGAATCAAAGAGAATTCGACTAATGATTGAAGTGAATAGCCAAGTAGAGTAAAAGAATATATAAAGAATTTTTCATTTTCAATTAATTATCTTCAATTTTTTTAAATAATCGGTCTCCACAAAAGTACAGAATTTATTAATTTCACCGATGATATATATACATGTGAAATATATATATATATATATATATATATATATATATATATATGACGTGAAAAAAAAATTTACCACTGAAGAATTTGAAATTATGTCACTGAAAAATTTGAAAATGCCGCGTGTTTTTTTTGTGAATAACTTCGTGTCACATATTGACCAATCAGAATTAAGAATTAGCGGTCAGGCAGTTTCGAGATATTTCGATATAAAACAACTTCATGTTTCTTTCATCTTTAGTAAATAGGAACACACGAGGAACTGCTCCAGCAGACTAAAAACCAGTCGCAAAGACCAATAGAATAGCGACACATAAATACAAAGAACCCTCAGTTCGTTTTCCCTATGAAATCATTGTTTATGTTTATATTTCGTTCTCCGGCACTCTCTCCATCAATTCGTTTTTTGACGTGGATACGTCTATAGTTTCAATATGGGGGGTCATTTCGGGAAGCGGTCCTTATGTGCAGTCCCATCTATCGGAATCCTAGAAAATTCTAGGCATTTCGGGAAGTTTCTTGAAATTTCGAAAAAATTTAGGGAGTTTCTAGAAATTTCGAAAAAATTTAAGGAGTTTCCCGAACATTCGAGGAAATTCAAGGAGTTTCTAGAAAATTCGAGAGAATTCAAGAAGTTTCCAGAAAATTTGAGGGAATGCAAGGAGTTTCTAGGAAATTCGAGAAAGAAGGAAAGACCATGGACGCATCCACGTACAATTACAGCTATATCAAAGGTACAACCGCCTGCAGTTTTTGATCTCATAATCTCAGTGAATCGTTTCTCTGAGATTTAGCTAGATGATCCAACAGCGTCAGATAAAACGCTGACTCTCGTTATAGTAGCACTCATGGGGGAATAGGGGAAGCGCATTCGGAGCATGTGACTACATTTCCCTAAATACAGTTTGTGGGGCTACTCAGTCCATAATCGATAAACACCAGGATTTCGAAATGAAGTCGATTTCGGGTAATTTTAGCGGTGATTTCAGTGATTTCGGAAAAAATGATTTCGATGATTTCGAGCGTGACGGGAGGTGATTTCATGATTTCGAATGATTTCATTAATTCGAAATCAGTGACTTCTGAAAAAATGAAGTCATTGAAAACACAATGAAAAAAGTTAATAAATAATAGCGGTGCGGCAAAACGGGTCGTGTCAAATTATGAAAATCAAAACTGGCAAATAATAATGAATTCGTTTGATTCCATTCCGCCAATCTTGAGCTAATGACGATGATAAGCGGTCCATTTTACCCCAGTCTTCACCAATAATTCACAAATAACAATCAATTTCAGAATTTTATACTAGAAAACAAAAATTACATTAATGATTTCACACATAGATTGTTATAACATTAACTCATTTATTTAGAAATATTTTTCAACTTCATCAAAAATTCTCTCAAGGAGGCTCAAAACTTCAATCTCAGTGATCAGAGGAGAAATTGTTCTTCGATACTGGCTTAAATTAATGTAGCCGTGAGTACTCATTAGCTCCGTCTTTAAACTATTCAGGGAGTCTATTCTCGAGTTGAAATCGTGCGTTCGATTTCGATAGGCATGTGACACATGGTACGGCTTACGGGTCGCATGCGACTTGTCAAAGTCGAACGTACGATTTCAATTCGAGAATTGGCTCCCAGACTTTTATCAAAAATATATCAATAGCGAAGAACACCTATATTTTTGCTATTACCATTGACACGAGCATATTCGTTCGAAAACTCCCTGCTTCGCAGAGTTTTTCCCTCTGAATAAGCGAAATTCAGGACATAACCTAATAAACAAAATAGTACATAAGAGTACAAGGGCACAAATTTTGTTTTCAACGAATGTGTGTACAGACCTCGCCTTCGGCTCGGCCTGTAAACTACACATTCGTTGAAAACGGAATTTATTACCGAGTGCTCTATAATATTTTATGTCAAGTCGTGCAGAAGTCGAGTTTTGAGCAGGCTGCGCGAAGCATATTATTGCACGGCGCGACATAAAGGATATTTTTCTTGCTGAAATAAACACCAATCACCGATACCGATTTCCGTTAATTCTTTCACAAAATACTTTTTCTCGCTTTGCAAAAGGTTCTTACGTCAGTGACTAGTACTTCTCGTTATTTCTTCGTCCATAACTCGCTGAAGTTTATCACTACTCACTTTTGAATGATCTTTATTAAACAACCAACATATTGAGGATTTGCGAACTATTGATTCGCAGCCTAAAGTATCTGACACTATAACGAATGGACTTCCTGGATCCATACGATAATAAGCACATACGACATTTGTCTGGGAGTAAGTAAATATGGGATTCCCAGAAAAACCAGTACGGCAGTGATTATCGCGTTTTATTATCGTTGTTGGCAGGCGTGTCAATTTTAAAATCACGAATTACTTGCACAGTTCGGACTACGCTACTGCGTTCCTTATTTCGGTGATTACATTGATCTCACACGATTTCACGTGATTTCGGAGATAAACTCGAAAATGATTTCGGAGGGCTGAAATCACTTGATTTCAGTGATTTCTGTGATTTCCCGTGATTTTGGGAGTGCGTAGCCCCTCGATACAATCCCCTGTATTAAATTCCTATTCCATCATGGAAATTTCACAAAATTGAGTTTTTCATATTGAGTGACAGTTTTACTTATTTTTCTTTAATTCAATGCAATTAAACATTGAGCAATCATTGATGTTTTAATGGTAATTTGAATTTTCAATAGATTGAGAAATCAAGACAACAGTGCTCAGACTATTGGAAATTGAAAACTTGCGCCTGAAAATTGACATTTTATTTCATAAATCAAGTCTTTTCTCCACGACAACAGCTACAGAAATTTTATGCAAAATTGTTATTTTAAAAAAATTTTAAACTTTTTTTTATTGTTTCAACAGAATTTTTCTAACACTGCAGAAGCTGATAAGAATGAAAATGTTTCCAAGTATTTTATCATTGTGAATTCATTGATTTGTCAAGAAAAAAAATTGTAAATGATTAATTTCCCCCTTTTTTATTGACATAAAATGATGATTATTTCCTCTTATTTTATACTCTGTCGAGTTATTCTTTACGTTTTTCCCGTAATGTTTCCAAGGGAATAAAGATAGTGAACCAAAACAGTCACCATTTTGTGATTTTATTTTTGTTCCAGACTTTTGGCCGAAAGTCTTGGATACAAAGAGGACTCAACCGACTGCACAGTTCCCTGCACACCCCCTCGTACTGAAGAAGACATTTACAACACTCTGGACACAGATTTTTTCCCAAAACGAGAGGAATCCAACCCTCTGCTCAAGGAAATCCTCTTCAAAGAGGAGCCCCGCTCTATCAGTTCCTCCCAATCATCCTCCCCAGCTCCAGTGGAGCTGGAAACCTCCCCGCTTCGCACCCTCCTCTTCAAGGACGCCCGCAAAGACTCTGCACTCCAAGAAACCCAAAAAAACACTCCACTCATTCCGAAAATTGAGATTCAGGACGAGGAGACCCTCGCCTCCGGTCAGAGGATCGCCGATCCTCTCTGTCGAGAGGAAGAGATCTTCAAGGACAATCAGAAGAACGATCATCAGCTGCTGAGGGAGGTCCTCAGGGACACCAGCTTCCAGAGGAAATATAATCTGAGACCTGTGGAACTTGGTGGGGTTGGCACTGGGTTCGTTGAGGATATGGACAGCAGTGAGTGCGTTGGAGATCTCGCACGTGAACAGATTGAACCTGTGTTGAGTCTAGCTATTCAACAGCTGCAGAAGGACTTCGATAATACTTGTGTTGCACTTGGAATTCATCCTGGTGAGTTTGAATATATTTTGTGTACCTTTTCGTTTTGTTTCGTCCGGACCACACTATGTGGATTAGGATATTTTGAGTTTTGGAATTTTCAAACTAAATTGTAGGAGAAAAATTGGAAAAATTCATACCTAATCAGGAACATCCAAATGAAATTTCGCGACATATGCACTAGTTCTTTCACATTTCGTTTTCATAAATGAATGATGACATTTACGAATAATGGCACTCGTGTAAAAAAATCGATTTTTTCCTATATTCAACGAAAAACAAAACAGATTTTAATCTTTATTTGCAACTAAAATATCCCAATTCATTGATCTTTTCATCAGCCGCTTAGTTGAGTCCAGGTTCTCAACATTTTTCCTTTGAAACAATACAAGTCATTGAATTGAGAAAAAACTACGATTTCGAATCTAATCGACCTTCCTGATGATTCCTTGCAGTTTTTAACCCTAGTCTGGTCACCTGACGGGAAATGCGACTTTAGTCATCTTCGCGGAAGAGTGCCGCCGTGTTATTTAGGCTCCAGCGTTGCCGAATCCACTCTACACTTCCCGGGCGCGTTTAGCGAGTTCCCAGCAACGTCGCGGAACAGGCAATTTCATTTAACACGGGAAAAAATTGTTCGCCTGTTGGAAATAATTTTTTTCTCTCCCAGAATTAAGGATACAATATTGGAAAAAAAATACTAAAATTTTCCAGATACTTCAATTGACGAATTCAGTTTTTCTCAAATTTTTCCGGTCAACCAGTCAATGGCAAGGTGAATAAAACGACGTGTTGCGGCAATTCCCTCGCATGGTGACCAGTCTAGGGTTAATGATCTTTGAAATTGAACCGGGTTCCACGTGGAATTAAAATTGGAATTTCATTGTGAGCAGGGTTGGGTCGTTCACTAAAAATTGGGCTTTTCTGTGGTCCATAGTAGAATACTGGTAATTTACCTCTAAGTGAGGAAAAAGATAAGTAACTGGGAGGAAACCCCTTACAGGGTTATTTCTGAGGGAAATAACCGAACACAAATGATAATCTTGTCAATTTCAATGAAATAGTATATTGTGTCATTAGGGTGTAAAATTCCATTTTTTCACACGTACGTGTAATACATCTTATTTTTTGTGGTAACTGCTGAGTTCACTGTTCAGAACTGTAGAAGAGGTTGTGGTTTTTGTGCACGAGTGCGTACAGTTCAAGAGCGTGCGTAAAGCGTAGTTTTGCGCACCAGAATTCACTTAAGGTGTTTCGATTGAAAAGTCAAAGTAATGAAAAAAAAAATTGGAAAATTCATGGGAGAAATTTCTAACTATGCTGCCTCATTGAGAATTCTTGCACATTTTCTTCAGATCTCAGTTTCAAAATAATGAAATTTGGATTTTTTTGTACCCTCTCCAGCTATAACCTCCGAGGTTACCCCACTCTCAATTACGGAAATTTCTATGGCACCCAAAAAAAATAATGAATTATTGAGGAAAAACTAGTGGGCGATAAATCAAATCTTTCTTGAGAACGGATGTTTTTTAGATTTCATAAGAAAGTTATTTGAACAAATGATTTGGGAAATTATGAGTTTCGGGGCAATTACGCCTTTACGCGCAGGCGCGTGATTCGAATGTCAGTGAGCATCATGGGAAAAGTATGGGTTGGACCATGGAACTGAGAGAGAGAAAACACTCGACAGGTTTACCAACTCAAGACGCATTTTAATATTATTTCAATAATGAGAATAACATCCAACAAAAATTATTTGACACCCGTAGGTGATGAGAAAATAATCAATCAATCTCATCAATAAAATGAATATTCAAAGAATGTTCGAATGCACACTTAAATAGTTAATTGAAAATTGGAAAATTTCGTGCTCAGCGATTGAATCAGGGCTCGAGAACAATAAGACTCCCCCCGTTTCACCTCCCGGTGATCTAACCCCTTAACGCACGCTCGTGAACTTTACGCACGTCGTGCGGAAAACAATCGTGTTACGCACACTAAACCGTTTCGAAAAATGCACTTTTGAGGCAGGTGTTACAAAAATTCAATTTCCATATTTTGGAAAATCACAAGGATAAAAACCAAAGGTGAAATATAAAAATCCGAAAACAAATCATCATAATTATTTCTTTCATTGAAGGAATTTTGCACATTAAAACTGGAAATTTCCCTCCCTCTCAATAAGTAAATGATTAGACTATTTTTGTTAACTCTCACCGCATATTTTTATTCGATATTATCTATCTATTTTATCCATTTTCATTCGCCGGCACAGTGTCGCCTTGCCGGAGGCACTGTACCGTCAATCGCGACCGGTTCTCTCTCACACTATTGGCTCTATGTCTCGCAAATGACGTCACGCACGGAATAAGTTACGAGAAAACGGCACAGCGCGTTGGCACGTAGATTACGAAATCCACTGATGGACGTGTTGACTTTTACCAAGGTCGTTGAGTGGCCCTCCGGTATGAGAACATTTCCGGTGGCCGAATGTTTCAACGATGAATCGAGTTGATGACTTTGGTACATTTTGAAGCTGACAGCAGCACTGAACTGATGACTGAATCTGATAAAATGATTATTTGTATTGTGCCAGGGGAAAGTCAGGGACATGTTCCTTGGAAAACACCGGTTAATGTCTTCTTCACTTTTGTACTGTCACAGATACTAGTAAGAGAAATAATCATCATGAATAATCATTTCTGACAAATCACTGACGTTTTGTTGCGGGAGGAATTTGATGAACTGATCATTATGATCATTTAAGAAGATTTTGTAGGTGATGTTGCTATTACGATGGATAATCCGTACACTGATAGAAAAAATTATTTTTATTGAGATGGTTCTTTCTTGGAACAAGTATTATATACTTGAACAAACTTCAAATAAATAAGATCGTACAGTGAATATCAATTATGAATTCTTGAGATATATTTACTTGAATTGAAACAGTCCTTGGTGTCAAATCACATGTATTCACCAAAAAAATGGAAAAGTTCTATTTTTTTTAACCTAATATAATCTCCAGTCACGAAATTTTCTACTTTCATGAATTGATCAAAAATTCGTACCTACGAGATGATTAGATTGAGAAATGAATTGATAGTAGATTATGTCATCAGGCGATAAAAATATTATCTGGCGAATGTCGCTTTATAATCCGAGCCGAAGGCGAGGATTATAATCACATTCTCCAGATAATGCTTTTATCGCCGTATGACATATTGTATTTTATGTCGTTGGGCCCGAAAACCGCGATCTAACCGAGCAAAGCGGGGTTAGAATCGCGGTTTATCGGGCCTAATGACATAAATGTTGTTTTCTCGAATGAATACGATGTTTAAATTGACCTTTCCGTACATCACATTAAACGAAATTTGTGATATCCAAGTTTGTGTAGAATTGGCGTAATCTGTGATTATGTTATTGTAAACTAATGCGATTTTTTTTAATCAGGAAATATAAACTTCTTTCAGTTCAACGACATCTTACTACAATCTCAAAGCTTTCTCCGCGTAACAATTTTCATCGTGATCGACATACGAAATACTTCAATTATAATTTACTTGGAGCACCGTATGATCGCGTTGATTTAGATAACAACGTATTTAGTCATGAGAATAATTTTGATTTTTGAGTAATCCAATGAATTTCTGGAGTGAGCAAACTTTTGGCTAGAAAGAAATCAAATACTCTCATTATTGCGACAAATAAAAGGAACTCCAATTCTAGAGAAGTTGGATTTCTCCCAATCAAATGTATCTCAAGAAGAGATAACTGATCTTCACTGTGAAATCATGTTTATTTGACAATTAGCAACCAAATGATGGTTGGTTCAAATAAAATTCTCTTAATATTCTAAAATTAATTTTTTCTGTCAGTGTATCATAGTCATATAGTTACCATAAAATTTTCAAGGGTACCCACGTAGTCTGACAGTTTTTTTTTTTCGTTGAAAAACCCTTTCTCACATCTACAGTAGAATATCCAGAAATCTTATAATTATTGCACCCTTCAACCATTAAAAGCTGAAATTTCATTCTTCATTTCGAACTGTGAAGAAATGTTTTAAAATTATAAAAAAAATTAGGAAGTCTAGGGGTGAGTGAGGTCAACTGGAACGCGTGTAATCCACTTCAATTTAATATATTTGTCATTCTTTGTAAACAGAGATATTGGGATTCGAAGTTGATGACAAACTTTCTACTTTATGTGCTACCTTCCCTTAGTTTGGGGCAAGTTTTGAAATAAAATTGAAAATTTGAATTTTTTGAAGAACGAAATTATTTTTCCGAGATCGTAATAAAATTATCATTGAATCATTCATTCATAAGGAAAGACTATTTCGAAAAACGATATTTTAGGCAGAATTGGTAGAGGTTTAGCTATCCTTAATGAAAAGAGAAGAAATTCATTACGAGATTTTCAAGAACTCTTTCATCGAAGAAATGTCATTTTCTTAATTGATGTTCTGTGCTTTTTAATATATCGGTTGTATAATGATTTTAAGAGTTGATAAATTACTCATATAAATTGACTGCATGATTTATGAAATTATTCTGATCTTCGTATTGCTTCTGTCGGTCTCACTGGGAATGCTGAATCTCAAATAAACCAATGAAATGGAAATGAATAAAATCATTCCTGATGTTTGATCTTTGCAGAACCCCGTCGTTGGAGTGCAGCAGACGTAGCAGCATGGGTCCAATGGGCGAGGAGACAGCTCCAGTTGCCGTCGGTCCCCCTGGACAGCTTCAACATCGATGGCGCGACTCTCGCCTCCCTCACTGAAGAGGAATTCTGCCAGCGAGCGCCTCAGGTAATTCCGCACGATGAAAAAAGTTGGAGAAAAATTTCCAAACGAGTCAAGTTATCGTTGAGTGAAATCCATTTCTAGGTCTTTTTTATCCTATATCGGGGCCCAAAAAGCGAGACGAATATTGAATTTTTCTCAGGCGGAAAATCTCAAAGGAGAAAGCAGGCGGAAAATTGTGTTTTTGAAATTTTTTTCTCAAGGTGCACCTGCTTTTAATTCTCTTGAAAGTATTCACGAAATTTTCCAAATTGGTAATTTCCAACAAATAGCATGGATCTGTTGTTCTAAAGTTACCAAATATCAACACAAAATATTACATTTAAGTATTTACCGCCTTCAACTCAAGAGAAAAACTGTACAGTGTATCTTTCGGTTCATGGAAATGACAAGGACGCTTCAGCCGTCAGTGTGGACACATCAAAACATTCAATCTATCCAAAATTTAACTCAATTGCTCGGTCTCGGTAGATACTCAAGTGAATCAACTTCAATTCAACTCAAATTAATCCTAGTCTGGTCACCTAACGGGAAAATGCGACGTTAGTCACCTTCGCGGGAGAGTGCCGCCGTGTTATTTAGGCTCCAGCGTTGCCGAATCCACTCTACACTTCTCGGGCGCGTTTAGCGAGTTCCCAGCAACGTCGCGCAACAGGCAATTGCATTTAACACGGGCAAAAATTGTTCACCTGTTGGAAATTATTTTTTTTCTCCCAGAATTAACGATACAATATTGAAAAAAAAATACTAGAATTTTCCAGATACTTCAATTGACGAATTCAATTTTTCTCAAATTTTTCCGGTCAACCAGTCGATGGCAAGGTGAATAAAACGACGTGTTGCGGCAATTCCCTCGCATGGTGACCAGTCTAGGGTTAATATCAAACATTTATCCCACGCGATTTTATTCCAGACAATTATTGTTACTAAATCAATTTATCGTGCTAATTTTCACTGAATATGAAAACTTAAAGTGACAACTATCCTCGTTCTATTCATCAAATAATGCCTCAAATTATAGGGAAGAGTGGGGCATAATCAAACAGCGGGGCAAAATGAAACATGGGACAAGATGAAACGGTCGAAAAAACGACGGCTTGACGCAATTCAAGCAAAAAAAGTTTTTTTTTGCTTGAATTGCGTCATACAGTCGTTTTTTTGACTGTTTCATTTTGCTCCACTCTTCCCTGTTTAAAACAACTAAAAAATAATAACAAAATCAAATCAACTTCAAATAATAAATCCAATTGAAAATTATATAAATATTGCATTAAACCGAGCTATTAATCCTAAAACCAAGAAAAATCGTCCAATTCCTGCTAAATTAATAAAAAATGAACAATCATCTCATATTAGTCGTAAATTTTCCTGAGTTTCGATACACAGGGAACAATAATTTTGAGGTCCATAGATGTTTTTTTTATTGCCGAACGAATTGTAAAATATCCCCCTCAAACGTATTTTTTATTGAATTACAATTTCGCTCCACCATGACCCTTCGTATAGTAAAATTTGCCGCGATTGTCTAGATCATTTTTATTCAACTTTTCTCTCCATGCATCGAATAATAAAATCATTATTTTTTCGGGAATGAAAATCCACCGACCACATCCGGAAAATTTCACCCATAATCCCCATCATTACGCAAAAACCAATTCCCTCGGCCGGTTCAACGCAAATGCCTCAGTGCAATGAATACTTTCATTGCACTCAATTGCGATCCTAACGGTGCCCAGCCCGCGTCATCACTTATTCAATTTCATGGAATTACCGGGTTTTAAAACCCAAAGTCACAAGATTCAAGCATCAGTGACCACTTGATTGCGATACAGCAGACTGTAAAAAAGATTCTTGGGTGGTGGGGGTTCAGGAAAGTCCGGTGAAAGTGAATTTCTCGGAAATCCTTGTGCGCACTTGAGTTGCGGTGGTACCCTTTACTGCGTAAAATATATGGCGTGATACATTCAAAAGAGATGGCGAGTGGGACGCGGACATAATCGAAGAGAATTTTAACATTGAAAGTGAAGTATTAGAGATATTCTAGGCTGAAAAAACATTAGAATGATGACTCATTTTCATCAGCAGTCCGAATTGAAAGTCAATATTCAGCTGAATTATTCATTGGAAACGAAATTGGTTCAATCTTTTTTTTTTCGAAGGGAGAAAAACGTTCGATGAAAGTTGGGACCACATTGTTAGCGCGGTTTTTTTCATGAAAGTACAATGTCATTTCTTGGATAGATTATGTTCCCTTTTATCAAGATCGAAAGTAAAGTACATCCACTGATTCAATTTCACGTCAAAAAAATATGAAAATGGATTATTCTTATCAGATCTTCTAGTTGGATGTGATGTGGGATTCAATCGTTATGAGAAAAAACAATCACGCAGACAATTTTGGTTTTATTGTTGTTGCCATGTGTTTGGAGAATGTTCTGGATGAAAACTGGAAAATTGGAGCTCCTGTAGAGTAAACGGCTTACGCAAAATTTTCTAAATTTAGTGCCCTGTTAAAAATTCTCCACTGAAATTTCCGGTAAACGTCTTGGAAATCTCTAACAAATATCATGACCACTGGAAATTCAAGGAATTTTGTAAAAATTCATACTTTTGTGGAAAAATCCATGGGAACTGTAAATTTCATATTCATTATTCCGGGAAAATGAATTAAAAATCAAGAAAATTCAGAGATATGTCTCCTCGAATTCTAGATTCCTGGGAATTTCCAGGGAATTCCTTGAAAAAATCCTGGAATTCTAACAATGTCATAAAGGAATTCCCTGAAAATTCAAAGGAATTACGTTGCATTTTCAATTACACAACAATTCAAGAATACATTCACCTGAATTTTTCTGATTTTTACTCATTTTCATGGAGTAATAGGGAACCTGCATGAATTTTTTTTTAATTTTTCAATCTCACGTTTCGGCCTTGAATGATTAACTTTTCATTACCAAGTTTCAAAAATATTGTTCGTTAACTAATAATTGATTGCCAAAAATTGAAAATTCCCAACGCTTTGAAATCGCTAATCACGTCACAAGAGTCGATCGAGCACTGGACCAATCGCGGAATGGCTCGAGTCAACGTAATTCCATCTTCACGTGCGCCTTATCTAATGGATGACGATATCTCCTGGTCTATTCGGCCATACTCTCTTTACTTTTAATTAATTTTAGAAATGATCAAGGAAATGAGAGAATATTCTTTATTCTTAGTGTAATCGTAAAATAAATTACAACATGCAGAAAAAACAAGATCGTACACTTTGGATTTACGCCCCTCTGCCGTTATTCATGCTCCAAGTCGACTAGAATATCAACCGAGAGATTAAAAATAAAGGGGCGTATATCCTGGAGATCCATCCCTTTTGTTCTCATTATCAAAATCAACCGGTGAAAAACGTTAGAAAAAGTCAATAAATTCTATTTTATTATTTAAAAAAATCATACGTCCCTGTGGCTTTGAAGAAAAAAAACTTCGAAATGATGGCGCTAACGCCCCTTTGACTATACGACTACGAAATTCAGTGACCTTGAAATTTCAGTGGAGCTGCCACTTGAGAGAATGTTACAAGAAGTATACGTACACTGACAGAAATATCGTCATAATATCACAAAACTAATTTCTTGCGACAAATATCTCATCTCTTGAGGATAAATTTCTTAGGATAAGAATTCCGGGTAATGTGTCAGACAATGTCAGATTTCGGTGAAATGTTCATGACTTTAACATAAACATTTCATGATAAAGTGAGAATTTCTTGCCACAAGAAATCGGTTCTTTCGTGTCAAAAAATGAGAAAATGACTAAAAATATTAAAAGCTTCGATTTGGTAAATCATGAATCAGAGACTTTCATATTGAATGACTAGAGAGTTTATGTACTGAGAGAAAAATCTGAAGTTATTCGATTTTAAATAAGAAAATAGTTGAGGCATTTTGGTGAACGGTACGATTTTTTTTGTACGCGGCACATAACATATAGTAACTTCACAAGGGTAATTTTTGCAAATCAAAATGCAGTTAAACTAACCAAAGTTCAAAAGTAACCACGACAAATCTATCGTGAGGAGAACTATAAAATAGTTGCAATGACTACATTCCATTGTAGTAATTACTTCTACGGCCATAGGTACCGCAACCTATGAAAAATTGTTGCGGACTTTTTGACTATAATTCGATGGTGCAGAGGAAAATTTGCAGATATTACAAAAATATAACCGTTGCTTACGCACAATCGCTTTGAGTTCGAAGGGATGGAATATCATCTTTTCCTTCTGTCAAACTATTCTCGTCTTTTAAGGAATATGATCTCATTTCGAAAAAAGGACCTCACCTCTTCATTCAGTAACTTCCTCCTTAGCCCGAAGAGAACCGATTTTTTGTCTAAAACCTACCACAAATTGATTGAATATGTATGCGATGTTTTTTACCCAAGAAATGATTTATGCGATATTTTGTCGTTTTTTCTCTTAGTGTAGCGCAAATTTCGACAGACAACTCTGAGCAGCGTGGAAGGCCTATGAATTTTTTTTTTTTTTAATAGTCCAATACCATGTTATAGTGAGTACTCTCGTACTCAGTGTAAAGTCAAAGTAAATTTCACCATCACTTTTTTCCCAAAAGTTTCTATTCATAATTTGATGAATGCCCTCCACATATATGGTGTAACCGGAACTTCTCATTCGAACTTCACTATCTGCTCGTGCTATTCACGTGAGGAAATTTATCGCAACAGTTTCCATTGACGCACGTGATGAAGAAATACAATCTGTAGGAGTCAGAATTTCCTGAAGATTTATGATGCCCAAAAATTGGGGAAACCCATATCCATCAAAACCAATTTATCGCCATCAAGACTTGGACATTACTTTTTCGTATCCATTCATTTCTGTGAAAATCGCCGGCGAAATGAATAATGCATATAATAGATCTCTCTAGTTCTAAAGACATCAAATAGTACATTATTATGATAATTCTTCGTATTTCAATCGGAACTCATCA